AAGTGGGATCAGCCAGTGCTAGTTGTGGAGAGTGGCACAGGAAGCGGAGTAACGGTCGTGTGGTCGCGGAGGAAACACTGCAAAGCTCCGGAGTCCAGGGTGAAAGACAGCGAAGTGTCCGCCGGAGTAGTACCTGGACGAGTACCTAAGCAAGTACCTACAGTAGCAAATGGCACAGGATCAACACTAGCACCTAAGCTAAAAACACGCGAGTAAACAGAGTCAGAAGCACAAGAGTGAACAACAGCATACATAGCATGACATGCTCCACAGAGCTGGACCGTGCAAGAGAGCAAGGGAAAGCCAGTCAGGGGCAGGGCTGTCAACGTCGTAGGCCGCGTGAAGTGTGTTGGTGAGCTGAGCAAAGCACTGACCCAATGGGTGGCGTCGGTCACAGCGGAGGCCGCTGCGAGTACCTGTTTGGATGAGGTAGGGGTAGGGTGGGTGGGCGTCACCACGCAACAGCTGGCGCGGTCCTGACCCCTGCCTCGGAACCTACTGCTGCCACTGTTGCTGCTGTGGCTGCTGCGAGAGGAGTGGCTGCTGCTGCTGCTGCTGCTGAGCCAGGTACCAGGCCGCCACACCAGCCCCTGCAGCTGGCAGTCCCGCAGGCGCCCGACGAGCCTGAGCGTCACCTCCACCAGCTGCAGCAGGGGAGCCACTAGAAGCTGCACGGGGCGCTCCGCCAACACCTGCACTGCCGCCACCGCCACTCACTATGCCACCTCCACCGCCTCGGCTGCTGGTCTCACCCTTGCCGCCCCTCCTGCCACTCCTAGCCCTAGGCCACGCGGAAGTCGTGATAGCGGTCGCGGTCTTGTCAGTGGCGGTAGCGGCGAGGGAGGCAGTAAAGGTGGGCAACTGTAGGACAGTGCACCCGTGAAACAGTGGGGGGGGGCACAGCACCCGAGGCGGAGGCTACCGAGCGGAGGTTGCTTACGACGTCCTTGAGCGCAGAGTCAGAAGAAGAAGAAGCGCGTCGCGAATTGTGGCAAGACGCTCAAAGAGGCTAGTGGTGATAAAATAAATAGTAATCGCCATTGATGGGGGGAACCAGTGCAAGCTGTGCCTCTGTACAGGCAGCGCGGTAGCTAGAGTCTTGCGAACGAAGGTGAGCGATCAAGTCAGCAGAACGCTCAAACGAGACCGGCGAAGTCAGGAAACAGGTTCTGGAGGAATAGGTGACCAAGAGAGATTGTAGTGGGAGTGGCGTAACGGGCCTTGATCGCAGTCAGGAACTCACTAGCAGTGCGAACCTGAGTGAAGTGGGTCTCCTCAGACTCAGGGAGGAGGCTGCTGAGGGCGAAGCAGGCGGCGGCGTCGCGCGACTTCCAGGCTGTCTGAGCAGCGCGCTGACGTGCGAAAGGCTCCCTATCCGCAGTGGTGGGGTCAGCACCAAGGGGTTCAGGGGCAGCCGGCGCAGGAAGGTCGCCGGAGGCGTGTGCCCAGAGGGACTCGTCCGCCTGGCACTGACTCTCTAGCAGACGCTGCGCACGAAGGAGCCAGACAGAGAACTCGAGCGGCCGACCCTCAGCATCAAAGCGCAGGACCCTAAGGGTCGCCATAGCGGAAGCGAAGAGGGGGGAGCTGCGTCTGCTGAAACCCTAAACGCCTAGAGGGCCTGAGTAGGGCGTGACAGGCAGAGCGTAAGGCGTAGGGCGCTACGGGATGAGCAGGGCGCAACGGGATGGCAGGGTAGGTACGACGTGATGGGCAGGGCGCGATACGGCGGGACGGGCAGGGAGGCACGACGGGACAGGCGAGGGGACGGGACGGGACGGGCGCGACGCGACGAGACGGGCAGGCGCGGCGGGCGCGAGGGGACGGGACGGGACGGGCGCAACGCGACGAGACGGGTAGGCGCAGCGGGCGCAAGGGGACGGGACGGGACGGGCGCGACACGGCGGGACGGGCAGACGTGGCGGGCGCAAGGGGACGGGACGGGACGGATGCGACGCGACGGGACGAGCAGGTGCGACGGGATAGGCGAGGGGACGTGACGGGACGGGAGCGACGCGACAGGACGGGCAGGCGCGACGCGACGGGACGGGCAGGCGCGACGATCGCGAGGGGACGGGACGGGACGGGCGAGACGTGACGGGACGGGCAGGCGCGACGAGCGCAAGGGGAGGGGACGGAACGGGCGCGACGCGACGAGACGGGCAGGCACGACGAGCGCGAGGGGACGGGACGGGCGCGATGGGCGCTAGGGGACGGGACGGGCGCGACGATAGGGCGCTACGGGCGTTGTAGGCTCAAGAGAGAGGACCGGGATCCAACAGGATCCTAAACTAGGTGATACCATGTCAGAAACTGAATGATGGTGGTACAAGCCTCACTACATGCTACAATATTTGACAGTGGGGCACCATATGCAATCACAAGTACACTAAGTGTCAAACATTATTCTTGTGTTGTTGTTGTGTAGGCTACAGTGGGTTAGCCTTTAGGGGGTACACAATTCTAGGGTTTTGTATTTGTACTCCCAACTTCTCATAGTGCACACACTTCTCATTCTGACATGGTATTACGAGCCTAGGTTAGGAACCTAGGACCGACCGTTCCTACGGGCCCACCGTTCCGCTAGTAGCGCCCTCGTGCGCCTTCCCCACCTTGCGCCCTCGTGCGCCTCGCTCCTAGGGCGCCCTCGAGCGCCCCGCTTTTCTGCCGCGTCGCCCGCTAGCCGCCAGCGCGCGGCCCGTTTTTTTGCCCGCGCAGCCCGCTAGCCGCCCGCGCGGCCCGTTTTTTGCCCGCGCAGCCCGCTAGCCGCCCGCGCGCGGCCTGTTTCTGACGCGCGCGACCCAGCAGCCGCCCACGAGCAGCCCGCTAGCCGCCCGTTCGCCGCCGCGTCGCTGCTGCAGACCGCCGCCCGCGCGCAACTGCAGCCCGCGCACAGCCGCCGCAGCCGCCCAGGCTCGCCGTCGCGTCGCCCTGCCTGTCCAAGCGCACCGCGCAACCCAGACCTAGCCGCGCCGCCCTCACTGAGCCGCGCCGCCCTGACTGAGCCGCGCCGCCTGGACCGAGCCGCGCCGCCCTGACCGAGCCGCGCCGCCCTGCTGTGCCCCACCTGCAGCATCTACTGTTCCTGCTACTGCTCCTACTGCTACTGGTCCTGCTGCTACTGTTCCTCCTCCTGCTACTGCTACTATGGCCAGTCCTACTGTGCTTACCTTTGACGCTGAGGGTCGTCCTATTAAGTTCGATGTTTGGCTCGATGACCTTCACCTCTACCTTCAGATCACCGCCAAGGACGATATTTCTCTTTATGACCACACGTCCGGCGCCGCTCCCGCACCTGCTGCTGATGCTGATAGCACTTTGCGCTCGTAGTGGCAGACCCGTGACGCTCACGCTCGCCTAGCCGTTCGCAGCCACCTGCCGTTAGATGAGCGCGAGCATTTTGGCCAGCATAAGACCGCCAAGGAACTGTACGACGCCGTAGTCGCGCGCTACTCCTCCCCTGCCACTGCTACTATAGGCCGTCTCTCACTGCCCTACCTCTTTCCCGACCTGTCCGCCTTTGCCACTGTCGCTGACCTCATCACCCACCTCCGTACCAGTGACCTCCGCTACCGTGCCGCGCTCCCCCCCGATTTCTTCGCCAAGAACCCCCCCCCGATGTACCTCACACTGTACCACCTTGTCACCCGCCTCCCTGACTCCCTTCGCACTGTCAGGGACCAGTTTCTCGCTCTCTCCCCCACTGACCTCACTGTCGACCTCCTCGAGAAGGAACTCCTAGCAGCTGAGAAGAGTATTGTAGCTGTAGGTGCCTCTCGTGGTGACCCCCGCACCCCCTTCTTTGAGGGGTGTTCCCCTTCCCCCCTCCTCCCCTCCATTGCATCTGCTGCTGCTGTCGACTACCTCGGTGCTGAGGGAGTCGGGACTGCGTCTGCTCCCGGTGGGAGGCGCAAGAGCGGCAAGGGCAAGGGGGGCAAGGGTGGTGGAGGTGGAGGTGGGGGTGGCGGCGGTGGAGGGGGTGGGGGGGGCGGGGGTGGTGGCGGAAGTGGGAGTGGCGCGGGTGGTGGGGGGGTCAGTGGCGGTGTAGGGGGTGGTGGCGGCGGCGGCGGTGGTGGGGGTGGGGGTGGTGGAGGAGGTGGTGGCAGTAGTGGCGGTGGTGGAGCGGGTGGCGGGCGCGGTGGAGCGGTGCAGGTTCGGAGGTGGCCAGAGGCAGCCGCAGCAGCGTCCTGGCGAGACTCCCTCGCCCCAGCAGCTTCGTGAGTGGTTCTCTCAGCGTGGGGGGTTTGGGGTTGGGGGCATTTGCTCGTACGTCATCCGCACAGGTGATCGCGCTGGCCAGACTTGTGGGAGGTTCCACCCGACACAGCGCTGCTTCTCTCGCCTCGATGACGCCTGGCGCGAGCAGTTCCCTGACGCCTCTGAGCTGCCTCGCTGGGCTGATCTGCTTAGGAAGGGAATTGATATCTTTGCTCTTGATTATGATGCTATCCTTGCTGCCATGTATGCATTGACTATTAGTGCTGAGGGTGACTGTTACCTGAGTGTGCCGCCTGACCCAGGTATTGGTACTGGTATGGCTGCTGCGCTAGGTGCTAGTGCGTCTGCGTCTGCTGGTACTGAGTCTGCTACAGCACTGCACACCTTCACCCTGGACTCAGGTTGTGAGGATCTAGGATCGAGCTCAGAAAAGAGAGTTTGAATTGAATGATCACCTGGGTACAACACGAGGCTATATATAGGCTCGACACAAGGGGCAGTAACCAGGTGTTACGCGAAGGTTCCGCGGGTCGCGAAGCGTCCCAAACAGACCCTTCCCGAATTCGGTAGAAGGCATTTCGGTGGCAACCGAATAGCTCAGAATTCGGTGTACGCAACCTAGCTCGGTGCTATAACTATAATAAAATATAGGAAAGCACCTAGCCTAGGAAATCAAGCAATTCATGCATGCATAAAATAAACCTAAGCTAGAAGTAGCATAATAAAGTAAAGGCAAGCATGCATAGCTGGCATAAGCCGTCGTACTCTCACACGTCCCCCCCTCAAAGCTGGGTGGCGTGAGATACACCCTGCTTGATAAGATAGTCCTTGAGAGCACGGCGTGCGTTGCCCATATCAGCTTCTGCAACCCAACTGTCCTCAGTGGGGTCGTATCCCTTCCAGCGTATCAGGAACTCGAGGGTCTTGCCGCCGCGGCGTCGATGAGTGAGAACGCGCTCGATCTCGTACTCTGGTTCATCCTGCACAAGAACAGGTGGAGGTGGCGGTAGTTGCCGTCCCTGGAACTGTTGGTTGGGGTCCTTGTAGGGTTTCAGTAGCTGAACATGGAAAGCATTGTGAAGCTTCCACGTATCTGGTAAGCGCAAGCGGAATGTAACTGGTGTCACCTGTGCCTCCACGAGAAAAGGACCACAGAAGCGAGGCCGGAGTTTGGATGGTAGGTGAGACAGGTTCAAGTTGCGCGTGTCGAGAAGCACCTGATCTCCGACTGCTACTGAGTGATCTCGTCGCTGGCGATCGGCATACTGCTTCTGGGAGTTCTGCATCGTGGTGAGACGCCGCTGAGTCTTCTCCCATAGCTGCTGCATGGTGGTGACGAAGTCGTGCGCGGCTTGGACGTGTGCCGGTGTGGTTGGCTGCTGTGGTGTGAGTGGTTCCCGTCCGTAACACAGGAAGAAAGGGGTTTTCCCTGTGGCCGCATGTGAGGCGTTGTTGTAAGCGAACTCTAAGGTTGGTAACTGTGTGTCCCAGTGGCTGATGTCGTCTTTGCAAGCTGTACGCAGTAACTGTTCAACCACTTGATTGAGTCGCTCCGTCTGTCCGTCAGTCTGGGGATGGTATGCTGAAGACATGGCAAGCTTGGTCCCCAGCAGTCCCATAAGCTCCTTCCAGAACTTACTTGTGAATTTTGGGTCTCTGTCTGAGATAAGTGTAGCGGGGATGCCGTGGATGGTGATGATGCGGTCGAAGAAGAGGCGAGCAGTTGCTTCAGCTGTAGCTGTGGCGTTGGTCGGTATGAAATGACCCATTTTGGAGAACTTATCGATTACTACGAGGATGGAATCGTGTCCTCGTGAGGTCGAGGGAAGTCCTGTGATGAAGTCGAGGCTAACGACCTGCCATGGCTGCTCCGGTACGGGTAGAGGCTGAAGTAACCCTGCTTTTTTCTGCTTGCTACTCTTCATTCGCTGGCACGTGTCGCATGAGGTGACAAACTGCTGCACGTCTGCTGCCATCCGGGGCCAGTAGTAATACTTCGCTATTCCCGCTAACGTCTTGTTGCTCCCGAAATGTCCCGCGTAAGGTACGTCATGAAATTCCTCTAATAGGATCTGTCGTAGCGGGGCGTAATTCGGTACCCAAATCTTTCCTGAACCCTTCCTTACCGCTAAGTCTTTCTCCCACTGTAACAGCTTCTGTTTCTCTGCCGTTGCGATCTCGCCGTCCACGGAGTACCCATGTTGGAATAGACCCTTGAGCAGAGGGTTCATCCCGTCGAGCTGGATGCCTGCTACATGACCGGGGCGGCTCAACGCGTCAGCTTTGTTGTGGAGCCCGGGTTTGTAGACGATGTCGTAGTGGAAGTGAGTTTCCAAGAAATCCACCCACCGCACCTGTCGTCGTGAAAGCGTCGGCTGCGACTTCAGGTATTTGAGACTGCAGTGGTCAGTGTATACTGTGGTCTTGGCTCCCTCTAGGTAACACCTCCATGCCTTGAAGGCTACGACTATGGCTAAGGCTTCCTTGTCGTGAATGGGGTAGTTCAGTTCTGCTCCGTGTAACTTCTTACTGAGGTAGGCAATAGGCTGTAAACCGTTCCCGTGATCCTGCATCAGTACTGCTCCGACTGCCTGGTCACTAGCGTCTGCTTCAACTACGTAGTCCTTGTCGGGGTCCGGTAGGATGAGTACTGGCGCTGTGGTCAGTGCTGTCTGTAGCTGTTCCATGGCTTGCTGATGAGGAGTATCCCATCTGAAGGGCGTATCCTTTTTCAGTAGGTCGGTCAGTGGCGCTGCTATCTTAGCGTACTGCGGCACAAACCTGTTGTAGTAGTTGGCGAAGCCGAGGAACTGCTGCAACTCTTTCACGTTTTCCGGAACCTTCCACTTTTTAACGGCTTCGATTTTCCGCGGGTCCACGTGCACGCCCTTGGCACTCACCATGTGCCCGAGAAACTGCACTTTCTCCAGTGCGAAGTCGCTCTTTGACAGCTTCACGTAGAACTTATTCTTCCGCAGGATTTCGAACACCTTCCGCAGATGCTCCACGTGCTCCTTCATGTTCTTGGAGTAGATGAGAATGTCATCCAGGTACACCACTACGCACTCGTCCAGCAGGGGTCGAAGGATGTGGTTCATCTCCGCCTGAAACGTTGCTGGTGCGTTGCAGAGTCCGAACGGCATCACTAAGTATTCGTAGGAGCCGTATCTCGTACGGAACGCCGTTTTGTGGATCGAGTTGTCCGCCATCTTGATCTGCCAGTAACCCGACCGTAGGTCCAGCTTCGAGAAAACTGTTGCACCACGCAGTTGGTCCAGTAAGTCGTCGATGCGCGGTATGGGGTATTTATTTTTAACTGTCTGTTTGTTCAGTGCGCGGTAGTTGATGCACATCCGTATGTCAAACATTATATGTTTATATGGTTGTAGGCTGTAGTGGGTTACACCTTAGGGGGTACACTGGATTAGGGTTTCCTATTTGTATCCAGCCTTCTGTTAGTACAGCCATTCCAGTCTGTTATTTCGACATGGTTTCAGAGCAGGTCCTTCTCTAGGACCGTTCCTAAGGGCCCACCGTTCGCTACCTAACTACCTACCTACTACCGGAGCGCGTTCTTAGCGCCTCCCCCGTAGCGCCCTCGAGCGCTTCATTATTTTTATTCGGCCCCGCTGGCCCCGTCGATCGAGCCCCGTCTAGAGGCCCCGCGGCCCCGTCGCATTTGACCTAGAGGCCCCTCACGGCCCCGTCGCGCCGCCCCTTAGCGCCTCGAACGACCCCGCCGCTCGCCCCTTAGCGGCCCCGTCGGCCCGCGATTTGCACCGCTGCAGCTGCCGCCCGCCGGTCCCCCGCTGCTGCTGCCGCTGCTGCCCGCGAGTCGCCCGCTGCCGCTCCCGCGTTTCTGCCGTGCCCGCAGCCGCTGCCGCCGCTACTACCGCCCGTGCACTGCTGCTGCTGCTGCTGCCGTGCTCGCTGCCGCCGCCGCAGCCACTGCCGTGCGCCGCTACTGCCCGTCGCCTGCTCGCGCACGCCCCGCAGGCCCGCAGCCCGCCGTCGCAGCGGCCGCCCGCCCGCAGCCGCCCGTCGCCTGCTCGCGCACGCCCCGCAGCCGCCCGTCGCCTGCTCGCACACGCCCCGCAGCCGCCCGTCGCCTGCTCGCGCACGCCCCGCTGCCCGCAGCCGCTTGCACGCCGCTGCTTCCGCTGCTGCTTGCGCACCGCTGCCCCTACGCTGCCGCTGCCCGTGCGCCGCTGCCGCCCGTGCGCTTCTGCAGCCGCCGCCCGCGAGGCACTCGCTCTCACTGCTGTTTATTTACTACCTACCGCGCACACTGCTACCACTGCAGCTACCACCAGTGCGCCGTTGCAGCTCCTGCTGCCACGCTACCTACTATTGCCGCTCGTGTGCCACTACGGACAGTCGACCCCGCCCGCGCCTTACCTAGCGGCCCCGCCGGCCCCGTTGACCCTCCGCACACCTTCCGAGCGGCCTGATTCCTACTACTACTGCTACTGCTACTGTCGCTATGGCTAGTCCTCCCGTTCTAGCTTTCGATGCCGAGGGCCGTCCGGTGAAGTTCGAAACCTGGCTAGATGACCTGCACCTGTTCCTACAGCTCACTGCCAAGGAAGATATCTCACTGTACGACCACGCCCTAGGCCATGCCACTGCCCCTGACTCGACTGCTGACAGCACTCTGCGTTCCCAGTGGCAGACCCGTGATGCGCATGCTCGCTTTGCTATTCGCAACTCCCTGCCGCTAGACGAGCGCGAGCACTTCGGCCAGTGCAAGACTGCTAAGGACCTCTACACCGCTGTAGTTGCCCGCTACTCCTCACCCGCTTCTGCCACGCTAGGCCGCCTCACTCTCCCCTACCTGTTCCCCGACCTAGCCTCCTTTCACACTGTCGCAGACCTCATCACCCACCTTAAGACTAGTGAGGCCCGCTTTCGCGCTGCTATGCCTGCCGAGTTTCTCACTAGCAACCCCCCCCCGCTCTGGATCACTCTCTACCACATCGTCACCCGCCTCCCTGACTCTCTGCGCGCAGTCAGGGACCACTTCCTCTCTCGCTCCCCCACTGAGCTCACTGTTGCCCTCCTCGAGAAGGAACTGCTTGCAGCTGAGGCGAGTATCGTCGCTGTAGGCACCTCTCGTGGCGACCCCCGCACCCCGTTCTTTGAGGGGTGTTCCCCTTCCCCCCTCCTCCCCTCTGTCGCCTCTGCTGCTGCTGTCGACCTCCTCGGTGCTGAGAAGGTCGGGACCGCGTCTGCTTCGAGCGGGCGCCGCAGGAACAAGGGGGGCAGGGGTGGGGGTGGCGGCGGAGGAGGTGGGGGTGGAGGCGGTGGGAGTGGAGGCGCGGCTGAGGAGGCCGGTGGCGGCAGTGGGGGAGGAGACAGCAGCGGCGGGAGTGGTGGCAGGGGCGGAGGCGGCAGCGGGGGCGGAGGTGGTCGTGGTGGCGGCAGGGGTGGAGGTGGCCGGGGCGGAGGCGGTGGGGGTGGTGGTCGTGGAGGCACTGGCGGAGGGCAGAGTCAGCAGCCCGCCCCGACGCTTCAGGCCGCCCGTGAGTGGTATGCGCAGCGTGGCGTAACCTGCACGTACGTTATTCGCACAGGTGACCGCAGCGGCCAGCAGTGTGGGAGGCCGCACCCCACGCAGCGCTGCTTCGCGCGCCTTAACGACGCGTGGCGCACCCAGTTTCCTAGTGCCACTGAGCTGCCACGCTGGGCTGAGCTGGAAAAGAGGGGTGTTGATATTTGGGCTCTAGACTTTGATGCTATTCTCACTGCCATGTATGCGATGTCTCTTAGTGGAGAGGGTGCTCAGTACTTGCGTGTTCCGCCCGACCCGGGCATTCAGGCCAGTCCGGCTGCCGCTCTAGGTGCTAGTGCGTCCGCTCCCACAGGTCCTGGTGAGGCTGCTGCCCTAGGTGCTAGTGCGTCTGTGCCCCCTGGTACTGAGTCGACTGCAGCACTGCACACCTTCACACTGGACTCGGGTGCTTCTCGCTCTTTCTTTCGTGACCGCACTGTCCTTGAGCCACTTGCTCGGCCAGTTGCGGTCTCCCTTGCTGACCCCTCTGGGGGTCCGGTCATTGCGACCTCCTCCAGTGTCCTAGCTTGTCCGGCGGTCCCGTCCGGCACGCTGTCAGGTCTCTACCTCCCCTCGTTCTCTACGAACTTGGTGGCAGGTAGTGCACTCCAGGACGGGGGTGTTCACCAGTTCACCCCTGCCTACGAGCGCGTGACACACTGCACGTGTGCTCGGACGGGTCGCCACCTGGCTACTTTCACTCGAGAGCCGGGGTCGGACCTGTACACACTGACCACTGAGTCCCCTCAGGTAGCTGCGTCTGCGTCTACGTCTGCGTCTGCGTCTGCGTCAGGTCAGCTGTCCGCCCCCTGCTCGTGTCGCTCTCTGGCGCATGAGACTGTCCTTTGGCACCACCGCCTTGGTCACCCGTCTGTGCAGCGCCTTCGGGCCATGCACAAACGGGACCTTGTTGCTGGTCTTCCCAGGGTGCTCCCTCCCCTTCCCGACTCGCCTGCTCCTCCCTGTATTCCCTGTGTCGAGGGGCGGCAGCGCGCCGCTCCTCACTCCTCCTCCTTTCCCCCGACGACTGCTCCCTTGCAGACGCTCCACATGGACGTGTGGGGCCCAGCCCGCGTCCGTGGTCAGGGTCAGGAGAGGTACTTCCTGATTGTTGTTGACGACTTCTCGCGCTACACCACGGTCTTCCCCTTGCGCGCCAAGGGTGACGTCCCTGATGTCTTGATCCCTTGGATCCGCAGATCTCGTCTCCAGCTCAGTGAGCGTTTCCGCTCCGACTTCCCTGTCCTGCGTCTGCACTCTGACAGAGGTGGGGAGTTTTCCTCTGGCCTCTTGGAGGCCTTCTGTCAGCAGGAGGGCATTGAGCAGTCGTTCACGCTTCCGGCCTCTCCACAGCAGAATGGGGTTGCTGAGCGCCGCATTGGTCTGGTCATGGAGGTCGCTCGTACCTCCTTGAGCCATGCGGCTGCCCCCCACTTTCTGTGGCCGTTTGCAGTCCGATACGCTACGCATCAGCTCAACCTCTGGCCCCGTGTCTCCTTGCCCGAGACTTCTCCGACACTGCGTTGGACGGGAGAGGCTGGCGATGCGTCACGTTTTCGGGTCTGGGGATCCCGAGCTTTTGTCCGCGACACGTCCACGGACAAGCTCTCCCGTCGCGCTGTCCCCTGCGTCTTCCTTGGCTTTGTCCCGGACGCCCCTGGTTGGCAGTTCTACCACCCCACCTCGCGTCGTGTCCTGGCCTCTCAGGACGTCTCTTTTGACGAGTCCGTCCCCTACTACCGCCTCTTCCCCTACCGCACTGCCCCGCTCCCCCCCCCGCCTCTCTTCCTCGCTCCAGGTGCTGAGGTACCAGACCCCCTCCCCCCTCAGGGTGCCGCTCCCTCAGGTGTGTCCCAGGTAGACCCGGGTGAGCCTGTCGAGGTAGCTGTCGACTCTCGTCCTGCTAGGGGTGCTGAGCCTGGGGGTGCTGCGTCTGGGGGTGCTGAGCCTGGGAGTGCTGAGTCTGGGGGTGCGGAGCCTGGGGGTGCTGAGCCTGGAGGTGCGGAGCCTGGAGGTGCTGAGCCTGGGGGTGCTGAGTCTGGGGGTGCTGAGTCTGGGGGTGCTGAGCCTGAGCGTGCGACACCTGGAGGAGCCCTCTCCTCCCAGCAGCTGCAGGAGAGGTACCTCGAGTACTGCCGCCTCCGGAGAGGTGCTGCTGGAGCTCGTCCCGGTACTTCCCCTCCTACCCAGGAGCTCCCCCCCATTCAGCAGATCCGCGAGTGGTACACCCGGCGCTGCAGTCTTCGGAGTGGTGCTCCTGGTGCTGCGGACCCTGGGGGTGGCGCTGCTGCTGGTACTGAGGACTCGGACGTTGGAGCTGCTGCTGGAGCTGAGGACCCGAGCGGTGGCGCTGCTGCTGCTGCTGAGGACCCGGGCGTTGGAGCTGCTACTGGTGCTGAGGACCCGGGCGTTGGAGCTGCTACTGGTGCTGAGGACCCGAGCGGTGGCGCTGCTGCTGGTGCTGAGGACCCGAGTGGTGGAGCTGCTGCTGGTGCTGCGGACCCGGACGGTGGAGCTGCTACTGGGGCTGAGGACCCGGACGTTGGA